ATATAACTACAAGTAAATCACAGAAGAGTTCAAAGATTGGATTCATTTCAAAGTAATAGAATCAATATTCAATGATTCACGTACATAAAAATGTGGTGCATAAAAAATTCTTTAGAAGAAATGATCTTCGGTATGATTTCAAAGAAATAAATAGTGTTCTTTACAAAAAAAATTTTATCATATCGACAACAATACCTCCATCAGCAAGGAACAAGTTACAGATATTCAAAACTACAATTATAAAACAATGCAATATGTATTGCAAGAGTTTAAGAGAAGATTTTGAAGGTCAATTTCATTTCAAAGTAAGAAAGCCAATATTTAATGAACCACGTACAAGTATAAGATTTTCAAGATAAAACACAATGTGAGCTATACAAATGAGCATCGTAAGTTTTGTAATCAGTATTATCAAATGCTAATGTGGTAAGACAAATCTATACAATTGTAAAACAAGAAAACGAGTACAAAATTCAAATTTTGTGACTTGGATTCGAGAAAACCAACAAAAAGATTCATATTTGAATCACTCAAGGATTCATTTGGACCAGTATGATTGTAGTTTCATGTGCTATGTCAGAACAAAATCTCATCATCTAGACCACATTGTCATAGTCACGATCATATCTCACATACAACATACACGCACGAGATAAATCTGAATTGAAATGACAAAAGTCAAAATTAAATGTGTGCAGTTCACATATCACAACATGACGATGAACTAATGGAGTTAAATCTAATCAGATTACTGACAATCAACATCAAAACAATGAATAAAATATTTTCAATCACGGTGTCATATAGATAAAATCAAAAACTCAAATTACAATTAAAACAAATTTAACCTCATATTTGGTTGTTGCAAACGTGTTATTTAACGCAAGAGGCTATTTTGAGATAAATGAAGCATCATATCAAATTTCCATTTGGATTGAAGAAGCAACATGAAACTTTAGGATGGATATGCAGATTTATACTGTTGATGTAGAAGCAAAAAATGAGAATGTGCATTAGGCCAAATCTGCATAGAATGTTAGTACTTTTTATGAAACATATAACTTTTTCTTGCCATCTTTGCTTTAATGTTATGCAAATCTTTCACATGAATCGTGTTATCTTTAGCTACTCTAATGGACCATGGAAGAGCAACAATATTATTGAAAGTACAATCTTGACCTTTTATTTAAATATTGCTATTTGAAATGCATGTTTTTTAGATGGCGTTGGATTATTTCACAATAATCTAATTCCATCTTATACAATTACTCTATGTTTTGTCTGAGCTTGTTTGTAATTTTTAGAGCATATGCACAGTTAAGACTCCAAGAAACAACTACATTTTTTGCAATTTTTCGTGACACCTCTCGCGTTTATCATAACAATAATTTCTACAATACAAATGTAAAAATCAAATTAATATTAATACATATATATGAAATAAGGATTGCAGAAGTATAACATATAAATCAAGAAATTCATATTATAAAAACATTCAAACAAAATACACTTAAATTTGTTTGTAATATATGAGTGTTGTATGAGGTTCAGATTTGTAATATGTAACAATAAAGTTACGAACACATATTCTTTTAGAATGATCATTAGAATTTATTTTTCTTGATCTTGATTTACTATTGTCACATATACCGAAAAGTGGTAGGTGATTTTTTTTAATATTGTGTATGGAATCCAAGAAGTATGATTAAATATCCAAAAGCACACCAGCAAGTTAAAGTTTTGATTCAAGCCAGTCCTCGGGTCATTGGTTTGTCTTTTCTAAAAGGTTGTTTCAAATATTATATTACTTTTCTCTTCATCATCTAGAAAATCGTCTATACTCTCACTTGAAATACGAGCTATCTTCAATAAAGAATGACGCATTTTTCAAATCCATTGCAAATCATCTGCATGGACTATGTAGGAGGTGATTGAACAAAAAATCAACTATGCTTTGTGTATATTTACCTATATCAATAATATTACATGCATGATAGATTTTATTGATAGAAAAAAATTTCATCTTGTCTATCAAAACATAAAAAAAAATCGTAAGGAACCTTAATTACAAATTGAATTTCTGAATCTTTTGATTTTGAAAAATGATGCTTAAAACTCTTCGTAAACAACAAAGTAACTAATGAAAGCTAGAAAATAAAATTTTCTTAAGAGAACTTACCTTGAAAGCCAATATAGGGTTTAGTGGATTCACGTATGGCCCAATTATTACCATTTACCATTTACTATTGCTTGTTTCGTAAAAGTCATACTATGCAATCCTCAAATTTGCTTCTATAAATTCCAAGTTGTAATTGTACAAAGGAACTCATATGTGCTTTATTTAAAACTTTGCTATGCAAAAAATTCGTAACTAGTAACCAAAAAAACTAGAGAAGATGAAAATCGGTCTTATGTGAAACATTTATCCTTTCTTGTTGAAAGAAAAGAAGCAGAATCAAATTTTGACTAAGTAGACGTGGCCAATATGGTTGACTCCTAGCCCTAGCCCAGTGCTCAAACAAAGTGGCCGTATAATTTATTTAAAAAGTACATTTCAAACACATACTTTTATATCTAGCATCCGCAATGTGGACAGTGAAATGGAGGAACGGAAGTCAAGGTGTGAAATTTGAGTCTAGCAATCACATGTGTGTTTGCACCACAATACTTTATATCACAGTGTGTTGCATGCTCTTCACTAATCACCAGTCTCTATACATGGTACTGGACTGACCAAACACCTCTTCTTTCTTCAAGCTCATAGCTGCGTCGAGTTACAATCCATCTTTAAGATATTTGTCTAATACCTAATGAAAGTTATTTTCAAAAAAAATATCACAATCAGCATACTTTGAACTTCATCAAATAGACCAAGAAGAAATAGAAATATTTTGAACTTCATCAATTAACCAAGAAGAAATAGAAATATTTTGAACCTCATCAATTGACCAAGAAGAAAAAAAAATACTTTGAAATTCATCAAATGGACCAAGAAGAATTAGAAATATTTTGAACCTCATCAATTGACCAAGAAGAAACAAAAATACTTTGAACTTCATCAAATAGACCAAGAAGAAATAGAAATATTTTGAACCTCATCAATTGACCAAGAGGAAACAAAAATACTTTGAACTTCATCAAATAGACCAAGAAGAAATAGAAATATTTTGAAATTCATCAATTGACCAAGAAGAAATAGAAATATTTTGAACTTCATCAAATTGACCAAGAAGAAACACAAATACTTTCAACTTCATCAAATGTACCGAGAAGAAATAGAAAGACTTTGAGTATGAGACGACAACCTTCAAACTATAGTGCTTCATTAGAGGAGAAGCATGAATGCGACCGACATATCGGGTAGACCCGACTTCTACAAATCTTGTAGATACTCTTCTATTCACGTTCTCTTGTTATTCCTGTAATTGTGTGACTCTAAGACGACACAAAGTGCTCCTCAAATTTGCGTATGACTCTTCTTCTTCAGTCTCATGTCCTATTCCAACCAAATCAAAGGTTCCAGCTAGCTTGCTCCGCCATTGCCGTTAGGAAGGAGCATTCCAAGAAACGCAGGACGAAAAGTACAGATAGCCTCGTGGAGGACGCGAAACTCAAAACCCCGGGTGATGCCCTCAGCCCATATGGCATTCGGTTGGGGTTAATTTAGCCCAACGTCTTACTATGACTGATCAATTCTTCACATTCTCTGTTACAAAAGGTTACATTCAGGTACAGCTTTACCACGATGTGACTATTTACAGGAGAGATAGAGAATTTGATTGGATGGCATCTGTGTGTTTGACTTTTACTCAAAGTCGCTTACAGCTCGACAGGATCTACGTATATTATGTATGAAGTCTCTCAGGTCTTAGGGCACATTTGCTCACGCTGTGCGGTAGTAGTGGAACATTCTCCGGCGACCGTAGTTGCTGCTGTCGATTTGCAATCATAGAACATTTCTTTGAAGAGTTACTGCCCATCTTGAGGATTTCTAGTCATTGTTGAAGTACTATTACAGCACAGAAATTCTAATAATTCTGTTCGTAAAGAAGAGCCATCTTGATGCAGGACGAAGGCTTTCATAGGGTCTTAAAATTCTTAACAACCACTAGGTAAATGAGGAGAAGAAATGGACAGAATATATTAGAATATTACAGCGAAGAAGAAATACACTTTCATTTTATATCGATAAGTAAAGGTTGACTTTCGTTATGGAAGAATTTGGGAGCAGCGTGGGGCAAGGCATGGGGATAAAGTAACGGGAAGAGCATATACGAAATATGATGCAAGAAATATATATCACAAGAAGAATATCGAGATTTGCCCCCAACTGACACTACCTGCAGGAGATAAACTGTAGTGTTCTACAGGATGTCGAAATCATGAATTCATTTCGAAAGGATAGATCCACGTTCAAACTTGGGCGTGATCCATTAAACCCTGTCGTTGTTAAATGACGAGATTTTTTAATTCTCATGACCCTCCCTCGTCAGAAGCCAAAGGTAAGATTGATATTGAATCAGATGCACATGACTACAGCCAAACGTAACGAAAGGCAAGAATAGAAAAACGAGCATTAATAGTCTAGTAGAGAGATGTCGATTTATCAAATGGCACAGTCTCTTGACAGAAATGCTCGCGGAAAATTCAACGGGTCACCAGAGCCAGCGGTGCAGCGGACATGATCTTTCGACTAGGCGAAGGTCGTGGTCGTACGTACGTTCCACATTATCGGGAAAATTGCTCGACGACGCCGCTCTCGGAATTCTTACCTTTGGAATTCACATAAATTGCAAGGGAATGACAAACGGCGAGATGTGAAATGTCCCCATCTCCCGAGAATCTCTGAACCTCACAGTGGCCACATCAATCATTTACCGTCGGATCGGCGAGTACCGGCCCGACTGTCATCGATGGTGAGCTCCAGTCTGTCAAGAGCGTACGATGAACCGCTGTGGAAACTGTACGTTCGTGGATACGGAAGCGCGGAGATGCGGGTGTGGGAGTGGGAGTGGCGTGGCGGCGGTGGAGGGGAGAAGACGACGGATTCGTCCTCGAGTACCCGGCACCTTGATGGCGCTTCTCGATGGTGACGACCGGGAAACCGGCATTCTTCGCGCGCCTCATGCTCATGCTCGCGGACGTGATCAAAACCCGAGAACTCATATATGCAAATCGGCATAGCACATCAGGCAGTCACAGACAGCAGCGCAGACGTAGAGACAGAAAGAGCTCGCAGGTCGTCAGCAGCAGCATCAGTCCTACAGACTGACGAAGAGTTGCTGTTTTCGAGGCATTCGGTGAAAGTATTCACGCCGTAATTGTATTCAGGAGGAGGCGGAGGAGCGGGAAGAAAGAAGCATGGCTCCCGAGGTGTTGACTAGAACATGGACATTTCTGACGGCTATGGCGAGCAGTACACTGCGGAGTCAAGGGCAGGCCGGAGACGGACGAGAGAAAGAGCTGCTGCAACACGTACTGGCAGTGGCCGAGAAAAACCCGCAGTCGGTGTTGAAGGCGATCGATCAGTACGCTCAGCGCTCGTGGCTCATGAACATCGGCGAGGACAAGGGACTCATTCTCGACCAGACTCTGAGTGATCGGAAACCGAAATCGGTTCTGGAGATCGGAGCTTACGTCGGTTACTCCGCAGTCAGGATCAGCTCGCAGCTCGATCAGCCCGGCGCCAAGGTCATCAGTCTAGAAATGTCGGCTGAGAACGCCAGCATTACTCGGCAAGTCGTCGCACACGCCGGTAAGTCGAGAATCTCCTGTTTTCCATGGCGAGAGCTCTTACATTTAAATCTTGTGAAGAATCGAGTCTCAGCATTTCTGTCTGATGTGAGTGAGTGGATGGGATGGGATGGCCTGGACGCGAGAGCTGGGTCAGTGAGGCTGATCGGTCCGTGGTCGATGGTTTCTTTGTGCAGGTCTGTCCGACAAAGTTGATGTGGTGGAGGGGATTCTGAAGGACAAGTTGGAAGACGTCACGAGGCTGCTGCACGAGCTGGATTGCAAGACATTCGACTTCGTGTTCCTCGACCACGACAAGGAATTCTATCTTTCCGACTTCCTGATCCTCAAGGAGCACGGTCTGGTCGGCAAAGGCACGGTCTTGTTTGCAGATAACATGAAAATTCCCGGATCCCCCATTTACCGAGAGTACGTCATGAAAACTCACGTCGATGATTTCGACACCGTCGAGCACAAGACACGGTTCGAGTACCTGAGATGGCTGCCAGACAGTGTCGTCATCTCAACTTGCAAGTGAGCAACGGAAGGCTCGTCTCAAACCTTTGCTCATTGCTTACCCCCGCTCGCCTCCTGAATGAACCGTCGAAGGTTAGCCCTACGCAGCGCCTGGCGAATGGTGACGAGTCCGATTCTTTGAGAATCGAGGAGCTTGTGAATGTTGCAATCCGCAACAGCCCGCCCCGCGATCAAGATCACTGGGGAGGCAACAGTCAGAATTCGGAATGTATCCGGGATCGCTCTCTCTCTCTCTCACTCTCACTCACTTCCAGCAATTGTTCCGAGGCCCGGCATGTACTTTGTGGGTGGACTCGGGTGAGGCGTTCTTCAATTGAAAGAAAGAATGAATTTTCTATTGTAAGAAACTTAGTTACGAGATATTGCTTTAGTCTTCGTTCGGCAACGAGGGAGAGCCTTGTATCACCTCCGAGCTGCATACCATGGGTTGATTATAGATTATTGTCTCAGCCCCTCGCTGAGAAGGAGCATCTCCCGTCTTGTTTATACACAATTGTGTTAACCTGCCCTTACGAGGGCGATAATGTGAACCGCTGTCGTCCGGCAGTACTGCAGTCTCTTTCCATTGAAGTCTGTGCTTGCTGGATTCCATTTCTCTTCACTATTCTCGCTCTGTTGTGATCGATCGGAGAAATTAGATGACAATTTTCTGTCTGAGGTCCGCTGATCGAATGCAGCTTTGAGCACGTCCGCTGTATGTAGCTGTCATTCTGGCTTGGGTGGCTGGACACATATTCATGGACATGTGCTAAATTTGGAGTCGGTGTTCAGACAGTGGGAGGGAAGCAACTACCAGCCAAGCCAACCCACTCATAATCACATGCCGCCATCAATACCATCGTTCTTGCTTTTTGGCGCTGAAACAGCTGGATCCAACGGGTCCAATCCATCATTGTTCAATGCTCAGTGACCGGACAGCACCTAGATTCAAAACAGTCTTCCTCTCTATACCATTCCCAATCGGGAACGTCGCTACAGTACGAGCAGGGGGGCAGCCGGTTTAGAAAAAAAGTTGGACCGGTTCACCGGTCCAAAATTGAATGGCCATACTTGGGACACACGCGCCCGCTAATTACCATGCCTTCTTTTGCTACTACCCAAGGGCACTTCTGTTACAATCGGAACAGAAGACCCTCTCCTCTGCATCGGTTTAGCAACTGGGTTTGAGGGGAATATGTAACGGGTGTGGCTTTACCGAAAACGGTGTGACCTTGGTCGGCCCAAATTAAATTATCTTAATTATGAAAGCTCGAACTAATTTTGACCCGTTAACTGGTTAATTTACCGGTTACCCGGTCAAAAATTAATTTCTTTATGAGTTCTTTGAAGTATAGTACGTTAATATGACGAATTTTCTCCGGTACCGGTTAAATGATACTGACGGTTAACCGTCAGTCAGGACCGTGGCCAAGCCTAGGGACTCCTAGCATCTCAGCAAATCATTGCTCTATTTCTAGTAATAGATTACGTGCTAGAAACAAATTAGCAGTGAAGGTTCACTGGTATTTTGTTCACTGCGAAGGCCGGCAAGGCAATTCTCAAATCTTACAGTTTCCAGCAACAAACATATTCTTGTAATTCATGCCTCATCGAAATGTTGATTTGTAAGGAAGAGCCCGTTGCACGAAACATTCTGGCTCCGGATGCCCATGGAGAAATCGTGCATTTGGAACGGAATGAAAGTGGAAATTAACTGAAGTATGATACAGGGTGACGACAACAATAGCGACCGTAAAGTAACCAACTAACGCTCGCAAGTACACACGGACCTGGTTTGGCGCCACTGTGAGTGATATGTAAGTCTGCATTCCACTAGTTGTGCTGACTACGACGACCGTTAAGAAGGTCATAAAAAGTGTTGACCAACGTGGTAAACAGTTGTGAAACTAGTACAGTACTCCACTTGCCGCCTGCCACGAGTCTTCGATCCACCCGCAGGATATCCACATCATCTGCACTTTTCCAAAATCTGCACACTACGGCAAAGAATAAATACTTAATTTGTAAAGAATGAAAAAGGGAGCAAAGTGGATAGCCAAATCTGCACGAATCGCACTACAAGGAAGAACAGCCAATGGCAAAAAAAACTATAGCTTCTCTTTTGAATAAGGTGGTTAAGGGGATAGTCAAGTTTTCTATGGGAAACTTTCTGCAAGGAAATACTTTTCTTGGCAAAGAGTTTACTGGGATTTCGAAGAATGAAAGAGGGGCTTAGAGTATAACATACATGTGGAAAGCGCGCTACAAGATATAAGACTTATTGGAAAAGATTTTACTTCTTATTTTTCTTAATGAAATAGAAGTCTAAGTGGGCAGAAAAATCTATGCAAACTGCTCTACTAGCAAGAAAAAAATTGCCAAATACTTTATAATCTTTCTCCATAGATTAAATAAAAAGGCAAGTATTAAGCAACATCCATTACATCAATGCAAACTACAAACAAGAGACTGTAATCCGTTTCTATCGTAATGAGTAGTATGTCATACAATACTCATGATGTCCAAAGTCTATATCTATATCAGATTATCTACATACAACATAAGCATTTGATGCCACATCCTTGAGTCAATAGCTAACTCTTATAATATGTCTTCGGCACATTCTATAACAAGTACATATTGCCAAACATGCAAAAGATAATGTAATTTGTCAATTTGATAATATCAAGAAACATTTATCAAAAGATGCTAAAAGTTAAATTGTTCAATAGATATAGTTGAAAGAGACGAAGTTAGACTGTATATGGATGCACTTTTTTTTAAAAGAACAAGAACAAAAATCTCACCACCATCATTCATAAAAGTTATTGGGGATTAATAACATGATGCATATTATTATGAGCACTCTACCTAATTGCAAAAATATAACATTTGATTATCACATTCATATCAACGTTTAATAAGCACATAAATTCTATAAAAAAATTACAAAAAGTTAATTATTTTTATATCTACCTAGAATTTATTCTACTTTAATTACGATAAATTCAAGACAACAATAAATAGTTAATGTTAAGAGTTGAAGTTATGGCACATGTGTTAAAAATTTTGAATTCTCAAAGATGCATTGTTTAGATCTTAAATGAGATTTTAAATTGATGTATAAGACAAAAATTTATTTCATTTCATCAAATATTGAATGAAAATTTGTATTGATGCTTAACTGTATATTAATGAAAATTTGCATGATGCTTCGATCTATTTTGAGCAATCAAATTGCATTTAAATTTTTTTTCCTGATGCAAATTTTTCCCCATCTGCAACAAATTTTTTACCATCTTTCATTCGTACCATACTTATTTTTTCTAAAACATCATAATTGATCTTTATTTTACACCTCTAGCGATATCCTATTCTTATTCTTGTGACATTCAAATATTAGTTCAATTATTATAATTTTATTATTTTTTATTACATGTAAAACATTTAATCAAAATAATCTATTTTGAAAAAAAATCCATCAATGTATGATCTTGAACGTTTTCTCATGTGCTATTTTCTTTGCAATGAAGTGATCATGAAATTTTTATAAATTAAGTATTCTTTTGTTGGATCTTGTGTGTTCATAAAAGCTATTAAAAATCATATATTAAATTCTATATGATCATTTATTTTAAATATTATTAAAATAAACTATATTTTTCTTGTTGCAATCTCATTAAGATTTATCAATTGCTTGATAATTCTATATAATTTTATGACATATGCATGAAAATATCAAGATTAAGATTGGATTTATTTATCATTTTTGAAAAATAAAATTTATTTTTTGATTTTTTTCATAATCTTCAATGATTTAAGATCAAGTTTTTTTTATAAAATGATGAAAGATAAATTATCTATTGGAAGAACTTAATTTAATTAAAAATAATAATATAATATTTTAAATAAAATTTTTAAAATACATTTCCATTTTTATCAACGTTAAACAAAGTTTATTTCAAACATATGTGATGATTCATATGTTGATTTCAAATGCATTGAAAAATTGAAATAAAAACACGTAATAAAATAAAGCAATTTTATTTTTCTAAAAACAATAAAAAATATAAATAAAAAATAATAATGAAAAATTAAAAAATTATTGCAGTTGAAAGATCACCGTGATCAAGGATGCTACATGATTGCAAAGAAAATCACGACGATTCAGAAATTATATTCGTTTGTCTAATGTTAAAAGAATAACAGAGAGTTCTACTATTTGTTCGACTATACCACTGCTTCCTCATCTCTTTAGTGTCAACGGGACAAGGTATTACAGCGAAATATATGGGTGGTACAAAGCACAAGTAACTTTCTTGAAACTGAGACCCCAGATTGTGCTTTATGTTTATAAACTGTGATAGCTCATTTTCACATGTGTATTTCTCAATCGAAGTGTTCTGCTGGAGAACATATGGATCACTATTTGCAGAAAATCCTATTTGTCGTCCCTGGAACTTTAATCAAAGTGCATTGTCCAAACGATGCACGAATGCTTTACTTTTCATCCCGGTGCGTGGACTGACTGCATTGGCTTGGGTTTAGGGTTTGCTTGGCTTGGCCACTGGCTTGGTCACTTTCGCGCATGAGCCCCATCGTTTCCTTGACCATGTCGGATTGAAACTATGAACATGGAACATCGTTTTTACATAAGGAACCTCGAATACTGCGTCTGACCATGAGAGTCTCATGTAAATATTGCTCTGAAATTACACAATTTTCTTTCAACCTAATGTTTGCTAACAACGACTGTATATGAACTTCTTTGGGCCGTATGCTGAGAGGTCAGATAAGAAGTCCTCTGTGTGATAACTCCGATCCATAAGTCGGATTGTAACGGTTGACATCGACCTAAATCAGCTGCCACATGCATCGGTCCCGAGAATTTGAAATCTGAGAAAGTTGAAAAATCTGGGTGACCAAGCACAATTTATTGGAAAAGCAATCGAGAGGCGTTTGTCCAGAAGAACCTGTTCTGCATGTCAAGGTTCTCAGAGAAACAAGCGCCGAGTGATATAACGAATAGTACGCGAGGAGAAAAGATATACAATTGGTGTCTTTGCACAAAGTGTCTACAACATTACCTACTCTCTTGATGGATAGTGTCCGATGTTTAGGAATCGTACGACGACTGTGTCGATTTCTAGGGCACGGACAGGAGCTGGATTGATGGAGAAGCAAATTCCAGTCACAAGCGGCGCTCATGAGCATGGATGGGGATGTCATTGGCGCTCATATCTCGACGTCGCATCAGTCCTTCGTCGTCGAATTCCCAGTGCTCATTACCATGGGTACGATACCACTGTCCTGCGCTGTCATGCCATTCGTATTCAAACCTTACAGAGATTCGGTTGCCAGTGTAGCACCAGAGCTCTTTCATTAACCTGTACTCGAGCTCAGTCTGCCACTTTCGACTGAGAAACTCCCTGATTTTTTCACGCCCTTTGAAAATCTCTGTCCGATTTCTCCACTCGGAGTCTTCAGTGTATGCCATGGACACTCTCGCTGGATCTCGAGAATTCCATGCGTCCTCTGCCGCTTGCACCTTTGCTCGGGCTGTTTCTTCTGTGAATGGCGGAACTAACTTCGTCGTCATGATACGGCTTTGTTCTTAGTGGAGAGTAGTGACTTCGAGTAATCTCGTAGGAATATGGAGCTTGCAAAATCTAGCCACTACGGTACCGCTGAAGGTCGGAGAGTACATCTTTATTCATGACTCTCTCAGTCCAAAACCAAGATACCGACAAAATACAATATACTATTGCACAGGTATCACCCAAGTCTACTTACATATACGTGTCTATGGGACCATGGGACCTTGGATGCATCCGATCATCTGGTATGGATAGCATAGGGCGGCTTGGTCTCCATTCCTAGCAAACTAGGTTCATTCTAAATCAAGCGTCATAATTTTTGGCAAATGCCAACTTTGCCAAAATAAATTTAATTCTGGCAAGTTTCGTTAGGTAATTTTGGCAAAATCTCTAGTGTGTGTATTTTAACATAAAATAGCAAATTTCAAGGGTTGTCTCCATCGTTTGCAGCGTCTTGAGGCTCGAATTGCTTCTGCAACATGATACCAGCCAATGCCAGGCTGGTCAGGTTATGCAAGTGTAGTTCTTTTACCACTTGATCATCAAAAAATTGGTGCCATAGTGGGAAACCCCGTCGCAAATTCACCACCAAACTGGGGATAGAACATTCTCGGGACCGATACATGTGGCAGCTGATTTAGGTCGATGTCATGTGGCAGCTGATTGAGGTCGATGTCAACCGTTACAATCCGACTTATGGATCGGAGTCATCACACAGAGGACTTCTTATCTGGTCGTCGACAAAGATGATGACCTCTCAGCATATGGCCCAAAGAAGTTCATGTACAGTCGTTGTTAGCAAGAAAATTATATAGAAAATTTCAGAGCAATATTTACATCGGATAAGACTCTCACTGTCACAGGCAGTATTCGAGGTTCCTTATGTAAAAACGATGGTCCATGTCCATAGTTTCAATCCGACATGGTCAAGGAAACGATGGGGCTCTGGCGCGAAAGTGACCAAGCCAGTGGCCAAGCCAAGCAAACCCTAAACCCAAGCCAATGCAGTCAGTCCACGCACCGGGATGAAAAGTAGAGCATTCGTGCATCGTTTGGACAATGCACTTTGATTAAAGTTCCAGGGACGACAAATAGGATTTTCTGCAAAAAGTGATCCATATAATCTCCAGCAGAACACTTCTACTGGAAAATACACTTGTGAAAATGAGCTATCACACTTTATCAACATAGAGCACAATGTCGGGTCTCAGTTTCAAGAAAGTAACTTGTGCTTTGTACCACACATAATTTTCGCTGTAATACCTTGCCCCGTTGACACTAAAGAGATGAGGAAGCAAATGTATAGTCAGTGGTGTAGTCGAACAAATCTTCGAACTCTCTGTTATTCTTGTAACATTAGACAAACGAATATAATTTCTGAATCATTGTGATTCTCTTTGCAATCATGTAGCATCCTTGATTAAGGGGATCTTCTAACTCAAATTTTATTTTCCATTTTCCATCATTGGATCTTATTAATATAGTTACTGATATCATTATAAACACAAGAGTGTTCATAAACATCTAATACCAAACAACATACTACCTAAAATAATTTATTTTTTCAAATTGATTCATGATATAACATCTCCGAAGATAATATTGTTACGTAGATTTGATATGATCACTTCCAAGTTTTACTTTTCTAGCTCAAACAACCAGATTTTTTTTCTTAAAAAATTAGCTCCAATTATATTGATTAAAAAAATTAGTAATCTTTGACTAAATAATTCAAACAATTGAATATTCAAACTTTTTTCTGTAAAATTTCACATTATTTTTTATTATCTTTTCATTCCAAACATATAGTTAAATTTCTATTTTATTTCATTCAATATTCAAACTTCATATTTAAACATGACATTTTTTTTCATATGTATATGTTAAGTCAATGGGATTCTATGATAATATGTGATTTCATTTTAGTGTGTTAAGAGTTAATTAAAAAATGGATTCATTATATATTTTAGAAATAAACATAAATAATTAAGAAAAAATTGACTCAAATGATTTGTAACATACAAAATAAACTCAATACCTCATTCCTTCCTTCCTATGGAGCCAAGTCGAGAAGAATGAAGGAAGAAAGGAAGTACTGAAGGGTGTGCACATGTTGACTCTTTCCAACACAAAATCAACTTGTCATTCCTCGTCTTCTGGTCGTCGCTGCCTGCCTATCTACATATGCAAAGTTTTCACTTAGGCAAGTCTCAGGACACAAACAAATTTTTCCACATCCACAATTGTACTTCAACATTCTCTCCGGCAACTTTGTGAAGTAGTTTGACGTGGGTATTATATTATCTTGGCGAAGTAGTCACTCATAATTCATAACCAACCTATAACTCCCGACAATCGGCGGCAAAATATTCAAATTTTTCAAAATTCAATTTCTTCGTGCGTGAGACATAACTAAAATAATCTATCGGGGAAAGCACGTAGTTTTGGGTTTTTTCTGTTTTTGTCCCCATTTTGTTTCAAAGCTCCTATTGATTTGTGCTGTTGGAAATGACACTAATCAGCAAACAAATTATTTTTTACTTCCGACCCTTCAACATTCACTCCGGCAATTTCGTGAAATAGTTTGACATAGGTTTTATATTATCTTGGCGAAGTAGTCACTTATAACTCATAACCAACCCATAACTCATGAGAATCAGCGTCAAAGTATTCAAAGTTTTCAAAATTCAATTTCTTCGTGCGTGAAACATAACTAAAAATAATCTCTCGGGGAATGCACGTAGTTTTGGATTGTTCTATTTTTGTCTCCGTTCTATTTGAAAGGCTCAATTGATTCGTGCTGTTGGAAACGACACGAATTAGCAAATAGATTATTTTTTACTTCCGGCACTTCAATATTTACTCCGGCAACTTCGTGAAATAGTTTGACATGGGTTTTATATTGTCTTGGCGAAGTAGTCACTTATAACTCATAATCAATCCATAACTTCCGAGAATTGGCGGCAAAATATTCAAATTTTTTCAAAATTCAATTTCTTCGTGCGTGAGACATAACTAAAATAATTTCTCGGGGAAAGCACGTAGTTTTGGGTTGTTGTATTTTTGTCTCCGTTCTATTTGAAAGTTTCCATTGATTCGTGCTATTGGAAACGACACGAATCAACAAACAAATTATTTTTTACTTCCGGCACTTCAATATTTACTCCGGCAACTTCGTGAAATAGTTTGGCATGAGTTTTATATTGTCTTGGTGAAGTAGTCACTTATAACTCATAACCAATCCATAACTCCTGAGAATCGACGGCAAAAGATTTAAAATTTTCAAAATTCAATTTCTTCGTGCGTGAAATATAACTAAAATAATCTCTTGAGGAATTGTAACCATCTTTAGTTAGTTAGAACTAAAGTAGAGGTTACTCTAAATATTGATGTAGATACTTTAGTGTGCACTAGAGCTAGCTGCCACGTCAGCGATCCGCACACTTGGTAGGTACACAGTGGATGTGTTAGTTAACAGTTGTAACACTAGGGTTTAGAGAGAAGTTCACTCGAAGATAGAAACGTAAACTCTGAAGATGAGAGATACCAACAGTGGTTCTCCTCTCCATTATATATCTCTCACCAACAAGTACAAGGTGATAAGATCTAATCCCCACCATCCATCCCACTCCTAGTGGATGGATGACGTGGCGGATAACCCTAACAAGCACACGGATCGCTGACGTGGCGCACCCAACTAACACACTAACTAACACACTCAATCCTTACCTACGAGCACATGGATTGCTGACGTGGTACTGTCAACTAACACATCCACTCTGTACCTACCAAGTGCGCGGATCGCTGACGTGGCAGCTATGACTAGTGCACACTAAAGTATCTACATCAATATTTAGAGTAACCTCTACTTTAGTTCTAACTAACTAAAGATGGTTACAAACCTTCCTCCTTTTAAGATGCAACGTCCTCGTTGCACATACGTTCAAACTCCTAAACTATCAAAGGTGCATTTGCTAAATTTTTAGCTGGTTCCCAAGTTGATTCATACGATGGATAGCCTTTCCATTGAATCAAATACTCTACTTTGGGGTATTTATGACCTCGAATACGTTTCTTGAGTATCTTTTCTACCTCAAACTCCTCATGATCTGCTATCAAGGTTGGAAGAGGAGGTGGTGCTGGTTGGTTGGTGAATTGTTTTGGTCGTGGTACATGTATTCGCAATCGTGACACATGAAATACTGGATGTATTTTCATATGTGACGGAAGTTCCAACTTGTATGACACTTCACCAACACGCTTCAAAACCAAAAATGGACCAATGAACCTAGGGTTTAACTTTGGTGTTCCTACAAGAGACAAATTTGTTGTAGATAACCAAACATGATCTCTAACCTCAAAATTCACTTCTCGACGATGAGCATCGGCATGCTGCTTTTGCCGATTTTGAGCTATCACCAGCTTCTCCTTGGCCTGATGTAGTCCTCGGTGAATATGCTCCACGAATTCGTTGACTGCTGCAACTTTGGTCGAAAACTCCTCTCCTTTGGGAAGTCTCATCAAACTTGAAGGAGTTATAGGATGAGCTCCATACATAAGAAAAAATGGAGACACTTTTGTGGATGCATTAACTGAATTGTTATATGCAAATTCCACAAGTGGCAAAAGTTTGTCCCACTCTTCTTGCTCTTCTAATGTGAATGCTCGTAGCATATCCTCTATGGTTCTATTTGCCCTCTCAGTTTGTCCTTCAGTTTGAGGGTGATAGGCCGTTGACATTGCTAGTTTTGTTTTGAAAAAACTAAACAAAGTTTTCCAAAATAAACTAGTGAAGTGAGTACCTCTATCCGTGATTAACACTTTGCTTAAGCCATGATTCACAAAAACTACATCTAGATAGAATTGAGCTAGTTGTGGAGCTGTTACTGTTTTTGTGGTTGGCCTTATGTGAATCATCTTGCTCAATTTGTCCACAAAAACCACCACTGAATCATGTCCTAACGAAGTCCTTGGTAACTCACATATAAGATCCATGGTGACATGTTCCCACCGCTGTTCGGGAATAGGAAGAGGCTGTAATAAACCCGCTGGTTTTTGATTACTTGCCTTGTTTTGTTGACAAGCAACACAACTTCGAACATAAGACTCCA